TATTAGAAGGCTGTTATATATACATATATATATATATATATATATTTTTTCCTTACCAGCAACGGTCCCATGAATTCCTTGTGATACCTAAACCAGGTGATTCTTAGAGACTTTAGGAAACCTAAAACTCCAAAATCAAACGTTCTTGGGGGTCTCCCTTCGGAATGAACAGACAGTGGTTCATTGTTGGTCCTCTATGGAGACCCGCAAAAACCTCACCTTGAGGAGATGTTACTCAACCAGCCAGTAATCATCGAAGTTCCAAATCACCGTAGAAAATGGTAACATACTCACCAGCGATAAATCTAGCAAGAATGCAGCAGCTTCTCGGTTTTTTAAGGCGAGAAAAACTTCATTGAATAATAATAATTTTAAAACTGGAGTTAAAAAAAACTCTTCAGACTTTAAGCCGATTACTCTGTTGGAAAAATTTGATTCAACAGAAAAAATTCATACTACTCATATCAGTCCGTTAGGTAACCTAAACTGGTAACTCTTCAACCAAAGTAGAATGTGTAGTGTATGAGGGAAGAAAATTTGGCTAGCAGGGTCAAAACCATGTTTGGAAGAACCCACGAAAGACTTCATGTGTGACCTGTGTTCATCGTGAAATCAACGCTTAAAACAGTGGAAGCTACTTAGCCTCTGAATGAACGACTTACAAGGACCAGTCCCACCGGCGTTGGCTAACTGTGAGAGAATGGACGGCTGAAGTCCCGTGAAAAGTGCTGGAAGACCACCTGCGGCGACCAAACTAGCGGGACAACCGGTAATGGTGTGTTGTCCCAAGCCCGCCTGTAGCGCATTGGCAGTGGGACTGAGGCCACCAAAGGGGACTCCACCGGCCGAAATAAATTTCGGTTTCGTCACTTTCGTGTTGGTTCGAGCAAATTCAAGCCGCATGAGTTGATTCCCCTCCGGATCGAACTTTACACCCTGAACAGGTCAAAAGAATCAACGTGAGTTTGGAGAAGAGAGACTGACAAACAGAAACGTGAACCAATATTAAACTACCATAAACGTGGATAACAGACCCGGACAATACTCCCGTGTTTGTATAGTGTCTGTAGCTATTGAACAAAATGAAAGGAGGCAAGGAAAGTAACTTGAGTAGCGGACTTTATGTTGTCGGTAAAAAGTACACATTCTGTGCACTTTGTGGACCTTTCGGACGATATCTGTGTTAGTCAACCGACGACATTGGGTGCGCATACAGCTCAAAACCCAGTCAACCAATCAGCATTAGACGTGTTATTTGTTTGCTGGAAACCATTGCCGTCATCTCGTAACAACAGATCACAAGGGACCACCTGTCGAATCCAACTGGGGCTCACTTGAGTTTGCGAACACAACACAAACTTTTGATCGGATCTCCAAGAAATTCTAGAATTACCGAGCCAATTCCCTACTGTTGATTCGCTTTACCTGACAAAGCTGTTAATTGCACAGCCTTCCAAGACACTCCACAAAACTTGGTGTCAACACTGAGCCTCCCCGGTTCAGTATTTTCCCAATCCCTCAGATTGGAAATCAACGTGGAAAAAAACTCTGCAACTCCATACATCAGTATGTTCCAGAGCTTACCTGAAGCTTACGCATAGCATCTTCCGCTTGTTCACGTGAATCGAAGGTAACGAATCCCACGGGCTTTAAAATAAAAATACGGGAACGCAAATCAGGACATAACATCGACAAATACCGACCCTCTGTTTCAGTAATAAATCTAAATCTAAATCTTTGTTCCCTAAAGTACACACACACACACACGTGCTATACTATGCCATCGTGTCTACACCGTTGGTGTCTAGGCCTCAGATACCGTCGTGGTCCATCTGAGACACAGACAGCCGTCGGAACCCTCGGCTGTGACAGTAGTAGGATCGTGACCCAGTGAACCCGTCCATGCGGCTTCGAGTACACTCAAAACAGGTAGCTGATTCCACACTTAACGGTGCACAGAATCACTCGTTCTTTATAGCGGTTATTATCACAAACTCGTACTAGCTACTCTTGAGACAATAGTTAAAGGACAATCTCCAGGGTCAGTGACCAAGGACCAATCGGACAGCAAGAAGGACAGATGGTTCAACCCAAGTTGAACCAAGGTGAAAACAAAAAAAATTATTTGTATCAACCCTCCTGGTTTACTCTCATTTTAGCCGATGAATAACGGGCACAGAATGTTGGAAGTCAAGCAAAAACTGTTTTTCTGTCGCTTCAGAGTGCATAAATTCACATAGTGACAAGTTTTTTTAGTTTTCATCGGTTGGGACATGTTACAACACTTGAGTTCAAGTGGACTCAGGAATCCTACGACCCTCCGTTATGAATTCAACCTGCCCGAGATGAAATTCACTGATCGCAGATCACGAACACGACCAACCTCTGACCTGATTGTGTCTGCTGTTCGACACTATGTGTGACAATCCCATGTTTTCGGAACAAAGTCGACCCTACAAACTTGTGGGCATCAAACTTTGGTCCCGTTCATTGGTCTTATACCCCATTTGGTGTAACTGCTCACCCATCACCAAAGTGTCTTCCCTCCTCAATGGGGATGCATACCGTTGGATTTCGTTTTATGAATCCGATGAATTCGACCTGACACGACACAACTTAGGGGTAGTACCAAAAAACTGTATATCCGAAATCGCATTTTAGCTGTCTAGGGCGGGCATTATACGCATGTCCAACAATCAGAACCGTGCTTAGTTTCAGTGGGCTGGAAACGCCCAAGATACTTGGTCAACCCACGTGCGCTGCAGGCCGATCGATTCAAAGCGCAAAGGAGGGGCGGGTTTTAGCCAATGAGTCGGACTACTTGCTATGATTGTTGATGAGCGATCCTCTCCGAAAGAGGAGAAATTTCACTAGAATAGGCTTAGCTGCCTTAGAAAAACTGTCACAGACCTGTGTACAGTATCATCAATTGGCATCGTCCATCGATGTGAGAGACCATCTGAAAAATATGGGTACAGGGTCTTCTTAAAAGCGACTTCCATGTGCCCAATCACCCAGTGTAATGAACCCAAAGAGCACTCCTCTGAAGAACACTCGCTATCCTGGATAGCCGGTACCCGTTACTGAGGTTGCGATCTCTCCGGAGAGAAACACCTCCCAGTTTTTAGTAGTGGACTCCTTTGGACGGATTACCGTGCCCAGGCATCGTATTCATAGATGACGCAGTGGACGCGTCTTCACCGATCGGAGTCTTTTCTCCAAGATGTCTCTGAGTAAATCGTACTCATCTAATTCAGATGGGCATCTCCATTTCTTCTAGATAACACATACGATCCATCTAAAGCAATCGTTGATAGCACTCTGAGCAGTTACTAGCATGTCTGGACTTCAAGCGACTTCAGAGAGCTCCCACGACGTAATATGACATGCTGAACACCGATGGATCTCGTTGGGAAAGGTATCTCGCAACCACCCCAGTCAAATCCCTTTCTACCTTCAAGTCTAGTTTTTTTCCTTTCAGTACTTAAACTATATCACAAGACGTCCTGCGCTCGACCAATAGAGGACAGACTAGACCAAAATCGGCATTGAGGATGTAAATTCTGTGCGTAAACGTGGCACCGCTCAACAATACTGAGCAAGCCTTATCCTTGAGACTAGTAAAGTAGCAATCGCTGAACGGGACAGGTACCAAAATTGCCTTTTTGAAGCTAGTCAGCAAGTAACATTCTCGACCGTGTCAGAGTTTGAACTGCGTTATTACGATTCTATTGGTGCACGACGAACACCCCTGGTTCATTCCAGCTGAACACTTGAAAAAGTCCACGTTTCGGCGATTTATGTTGCTTCCCACCAGTTGTGGAACAACACGCCCGCAATGGTTTTGGCTGTGCTGATCGAGTTTCCGAGCAGTCCAGTACAATCACACAACTCGCGACTAGCCACGAGTATTCAGGTATCATCTTCATTTCAAAACCAAGTGGGAAATTGCAGTATTGCCGAAGAATGGAGAGGTGTACCGATTTCGTCAATGAGCGGTTGTGTTGCATGACAACATCCGTCTATTCAAACCAGACCATAGGATTTGGCGATCGAATAAAGTTCCTGCCGAACCCAGGTTCGCCGATAGTCAGGCAAATAGTACACTTTACACTGGTAGATAGCTGTCTCATCAATGTGGTTTACTACACAGGATGTGGGGAGTTCTGAGGACGGTTACTAATCGCAGACGGTATCCGATGGTTCGAGTTACTGTTACAGGAAAAGCACACGCTTAACTCCGTGCATTGCGGTTCGAAAACCCCTCCTGACAGTAGCAGGATGTGGGGAGTTCTGAGGACGGTTACAAATCGCAAACGGTATCCGATGGTTTGAGTTACTGTCACAGGGAAAGCACACGCACACTCCGTGCATTGCGGTTCGAAAACCCCTTCTGACAGTATTTCAGACTATTGAATCATACCGAGCAGTTGAGTAGGAGCTGAGGGTTTAAACCATTGCGCCACCAGCAGCTAATCAGCGGTGTGATTAACTCGCACTTAGATTGGACAGAGTGCCATCACATCATGTAGGCTCGTGACAATTTCTCAGAGAGAAAGTTCACTCATCTTGTGGTTTATCCTTCTTTTTTGGCATGACTTTTTTCTTAGCTGATATTGTACCTACCATGCTAAGTACGGGCTAATCCATAGGATTTGGCGATCGAATAAAGTTCCTGCCGAACCCACGTTCGCCGATAGTCAGGCAAATAGTACACTTTACACTGGTAGATAGCTGTCTCATCAATGTGGTTTACTACACAGGATGTGGGGAGTTCTGAGGACGGTTACTAATCGCAGACGGTATCCGATGGTTCGAGTTACTGTTACAGGAAAAGCACACGCTTAACTCCGTGCATTGCGGTTCGAAAACCCCTCCTGACAGTAGTTCAGACTATTGAATCATACCGAGCAGTTGAGTAGGAGCTGAGGGTTTAAACCATTGCGCCACCAGCAGCTAATCAGCGGTGTGATTAACTCGCACTTAGATTGGACAGAGTGCCATCACATCATGTAGGCTCGTGACAATTTCTCAGAGAGAAAGTTCACTCATCTTGTGGTTTATCCTTCTTTTTTGGCATGACTTTTTTCTTAGCTGATATTGTACCTACCGTGCTAAGTACGAGCTAATCCCACTGTTGATCAACCGCTGGTCACCGAACGGTTTAGTCTTCACCTTCTAGCCAAAAGATTTCGATTATTGAGATGTGCGCTGCCAATGATTCTCACTAAGGCTAAAACAGCTGCATACTGCCTCTTGACACTTTCTGGCATAGACTGATTTCGGGACCACACTTTTGATGAGAAATTCCAAAATCTCAACGTACTACTAATAACCGGTGCGTGTTGGCTTCAGTGACCAGACCAATAAAAGTCGGAAGGGATTAGGACAGAACCGAGTATCGTTCAATCGATACAAGAGTACTTAGCTTAGCAGTGTGACAAACAGAGTCCATCCGTAATGTCTTGAGAAAAAAGCACCAGATAGTACTTGCGAGTACAACCAGAAGTTTGGTATGTCAGTTATTCTTTTGAATTTTGTGCCAAGAGGAGCGGCAAGTGCCAAACAGACCATTTGCAGAAAGTTTGCAATGAAATGAGCCTAATTGGAGGGATAAGCCATTTTCCTACCTATATAGATAAAAATTTTTGATTGAACAGTCTTCGGCATCAATATGTTTGCAAACTGACCCCTTACCCCTTGTTTCACAAAAGTTTAAGAACTGACACAGCATACCATATGCCCTGAGGGTCTCACAAGGTATGAAATCGATAAAATACAGTATATTGAGCCAAAAGTGCTTTTTGATGTGTACTTGCTTGGAAAACTAATCACTTAGAGCAAGGAGGATACTCATAAACGTTAGTCAATGGCTACCTGAAGATGATGGGTCGGATCAGTAACCAAGAAGTGTGCTTTCCAAAATGAAAGTCTGTTGTTATGGTTTGTGGAGCGAAGTACGCATTCAGCCGATTGCTACTCCGAATGGCTTCACATGGGTCATGCACGGAATGCAACGAAATGATTTTGATACTGGTCTTAGTATGGAAAGAACAAACACCTACAGCTGAAGGCAGCCACCTCTCTGAAACGGACGATCACACGTTCTTCGGAGGAACTTTTTGTGGATGTAGTGTTGACGTCACCTGATTAGGCAAGGTGCGAATGGCAATAACACCAGTGATACAATAACGAGTAGAACTCACAGCCGTTGGTTTTCCGTTTTTACCGGCCGGTTTCAACGTTGAAGATTGATAACCCTGCGGAAGTTTGACAAGTCATCCCAAGAAAATATTGTGCAAACGAAGATCCAGTCCCGCATCAAACAGGAAGTTGGCGCAAATTCCCACAAACGTTTGGTGCGGAGAGTGGCGCATGTGGTTGGTAACGAACAGACGGTTCGGATGGAGAGAGAAACAGAGAAAAAAGGGGAGAACCAAAAGTCAGATGGGTAAACTAACACGATAGAGTTGGGATCACGGAGGTGCTTCGATCGATGTGCCAAAACCAGTGAGATTTTCCTAATGGATATCAAACTTGGTGCCTAATGAGGAAGACCAAAGATGGAGCACGAGGGGAGTGGGAATAACTGGGGACGATATGCACCAAAAACTTGAAGCTTCTCGGACTGTCTGTCTAAAAACAAA